TGTTATAGCAGCCCACATGGACTCGGATGGGCGGGCAATGGAATGATCAAGTTAAAAACATTCTGCGCCGACTAAGGGAGCGGGTGCTCCTGCCGGCAGAGCTTCCTGGCCCTCTCCATAGCCCTGGTCTCCAGGACCAACTGCAGCAAGAAGAGTGTGCTGCCTCTTTCCTGCCCCCAGAGTCTCCTGGGTCAACAGGGCCAGGGCTGCCAGGGAGCTGAGGCTCCTCAGAGCAGGACACAGGGCTGAGCACGTGTGACCGTGAAGCACCCAGCCCGACCCCGTAGCTATGCCCCCTTGGCAGGTTCACACGAGAAAATGGGAATCGACCTTGAGCGCTAGGTGGCCGTCCCCCCATTATGAGCTGCGAGGAGGGGGTAGGCTTCAGCGACAGCTCCCCCATTTCCCTCCCGCACCCTGAGATGGCTGGCGGGCCATTCCCTGGGGCTGGGCTTCGGGTGCTCAGGATGCCAAGGAAGGGTGTCCGGCAGCTGCCGGGAGATCAGGTCTTGAGCTTGGCAAAGACCAAAGTTTGAGAGAGGCCTGTGGAGACTAAAGGTCAGAGCCAAGAAGAGGGCGAAGAGGGCTGGGGACAAGGCCCCAGGAGCAGCAGCATCCAGGGGACCCTACAGGAGACTGAGGCAAGGGGGGACTGGAGGGTTCAAGCAAGAACGCTTCGCGAGGTGGGCTCACACGACGCGGGTGGACGTCCAGGCGTCTTGCTATGTGTAAGATGCGACCAGAAAGGCTTCATGTGACACGATTCCATCCATAGGACATTCTGGAAAAGGCAAAGTGTAGAGAACGCAGACATCACTGGTGGCCAGGGTTGGGGAGCAGGAGGCCGTGACTAAAAAGGTCAGCACAGGGAGTTTGGGAAGGGATGGAGTGTCCTGGGGGTGTGGCGGGGGATGTGAAGGTCCGTGCGGTTCTCACAGCCCATAGAGCTGCAGCCTGAGGAGTGAGTTTTACTGTATGTAAATGTAATATGGGTGTAATATGCACGGACAGATGGACAGTCCACAGGTCCTTTTGTCCATTCATAGTACATTCATTAATATGTGAACAAGAAGTGGTTTGTTCTGTTGAATGTTTCAAGGAGATGGAGGAAGGTGAGTGACAGGTGTCTTGACCTCTGTCTGAGTGGGTCCCGGGCCGCGGGCAGAACTGAGCTGATTCCTCCCTCTAGGAACTTGGCTGCTGTGGCCTCAGAGCTTCCAGGGCCAGAGCTGCTTGGTAAAGAGACTCGCCCTGAGACATGCGCCTGTTATCAGTTAGATGCTCACTGGGAAGAGCCTGTGCTGCCTGGTTGCGTGACTTCTAGGAAATACTTGAGGCTTTCAGGGTCTCTGTGTCCACATCAGTAAAGTAGGAACAGTGAGCTTCTCAGGATTGCCTGAGATCAAGGGGCTTTGAAAAGTTAGAAGCGCAACCTTTGGAACTGGACATGGGTGCCACTGTATTTACCGGCTCCCTGCATGTCCTCCACCTCCGCTGGTCACTGACTGCTGGCCCAGTCCACTCCTCGCCATCATGAAAAGCTTCCTACTCTGTCCGTCCTTTATTACTTATCCGTCTGCACCAGGCCAAGCATACAGTAAGGCCACGTCTGGGAAACGGCACTCACCTGGTGCCTGGTGCAGATGCTCAAGAAACACATATTGACCCCGCCCTTTCAGGATCAAGGTATACTCCATCCTGATGACCTCCTGCCTTTGGAGCATCTTCGGTGCTCTCTGAAAGTCAAATCACCTTTGAGATGAAGCCACGTGCTCAGGGAGGCTCAGGGTACACAGTCTCGGGGGCAGGGGGTGGTCTGTGAATATCAGTTGGATAATTCGTACTTGACAACTAGCAGCGATGTCAGCAGAGGTGCAGAGCCTCGCAGGGGCGGTTCAGAGCCTCACGTGGGCAGCTTTTGTGGGTGAAGAAAACTCAGCTGTGCCTTGAGGACCTGAGTGGACGTGTGCAGGGTGCTGGGGGCACTGGAGATGCTTCTGTCCAGGGCCCTTAGGGCTCCCCTCTGATGTGGGGAGGGCAGCTGGCAGGAGCCACCTGCCTGCAGTGCCCTGGGTGCTGCGCACAGTCCAGGACCGTCATGTGGAGGGAGGCACACATCTGGCCTGCAAGGACACCTGGGCGTGTCCAAGGCCAAGAAGGAAGAGGAGTCACTCTCGGTACCAAGGTGCAAAGGCAAGAACCTTAACAGAGGGGTAGGAGCAGCTGCCTTACCTCCTGTCCCCTCCCTCCTCCTCCCTCCCAGAGCCTGGGATCATCCCTGTGTCCCTAAGTTCCCTGAGCTCGGTTCCACCTGCAGACAAATCTCTGCCTTCCCCATCCCCACGCCCCTGGATTCCTGCAGCTTAAAGGCTTAGGCACGACCTCAAAAGCCATGTGTGTGACCTCAAAAGCCATGTGTATGACCTCAAAAGCCATGTGTGTGCCCCACTCATTCCTTTCTCCTGGGGGAGGGGGGATGGGGCGGGGATTTGAGCAGCAGGGACAGGCTCCGCCCCTCTCAGACCTGGATGGGGCTTCCAGTCCTGGGAGCAGGGGGGGAGGAGGAAGGTCTCCTTGGGAACCCGGGCCACATGGCTTCTCTGCAGCTGTGGAATCTGCTCTCCTGTCCTCTGCTCTCCTGCCGTCCTCTCCCCTCCAGGCCACTTCTGCTTTCCCTATTGTTATTGTAGAAAGTTGTGTCCTCTAGAGCCCTGTGGTCAGCGTCCCCCATGAGCTAACGATCCTCAGAGCCATTGCACGGAGTCCTCAGGACACCAGGGTCTGTTGTGATCCTGGCTCCAAGAGGATATGGCCCTGGGGGTTAGCAGATTGCCAAGGTCACGCAGGTCATAAGGGCAGAAGCACTTCCCGAAACCTAATTCTGTCCGCAGTGCCTAACATACAACATATTTGCAGTCTGCAGTTATTGCTCTTGGTGGCCAAGGTGGGAGGGACAGGGATCCCCTGCCACCTGGCCGGCTGCTGGAGGATTCAAGTCCTAAAGAGAAGAGAGAATTGGTCCCAGCTACCAGCCACCGGCTGGGAGTGGGGAGTGGTCCTCTGTGGGCTGCAGTCTTGGACATCAGGGTTAGGGCATGCCACACCCAGTAAGGAGCAGCAGATTGCCACTGAAGAGACAGAGGGATGGACTGGAGAAATGACCAGGCCATTTTAAGTCTATGAGTGGCCAAGCCAGCCTCCGATCCACAGTGCACCATAATTCCCAGTCTTGGCCTATGTGGCTGGGTTCCCTGAGCTGGTCACGTCCCTCTCTGAGCCTCACCCGAAAACAGGCATGCATAAGGCCGTAGTGCCAGCCCCCTGGGTTCAGGGTATATCAGAAGACTCTGGTAGGCACTGAGAATGGCGAGTATGTCTGGGGGTGCCATACCTGCTGCCCTTGATGGCAATGTCAAGACACCTCTGTGGCCCTCCAGTGTACATCAGGGGAGCTGAGCAAGGCGGGAGAGTGAGCAAGGAGTCGGATCCGACCAAGGGCAAAGCCACTTATAACCCACATCTCCTCCCTGCTGGAGGCCAGATAATGTGTCCTCAGCAGCGTGACTTTATTTTGATTCTCAGAGACGTCTCAGGATTGGATAAATCGCCAGCTCTCAAAACAATGGTTTGCAGAGTGGGGACATGCCTCAAATTCTCATGGCAGAAATGTCTATTGATCTGCACTGAACCATCCCGGGCAGCTCCATTCATCCTGGAAATAAGACCCTGGCAGCGAGACGGCCGAATCTCTCCCTTAGTAATTCTCATCTCCAGGCAGAAAATCCTTGCAGCAGATCCATGCCCTTGAACTGGCAGCAGCAACTGTATTAAGGGAGTTGGATTACAGGGAGAGAGGGAGGGAGAGATGAAAGAATCCACTCTTTTCTAAGTGCTTGGGGAGCTGTTCTTTGTTGTTGGTAGAATCTGATGTTCAAATCAGGAAAGTTTCCGTATGAGGGAGAAACCATCATTGTCAAAGCTTATGGCAAATGACATTTACAGAGAAGGGATTTCTGTCCTGGACGTCCAGTTAGCAAGCATTAATTGAGTGTCTATTATGAGCCTATTGTCACTCCAGGTACCTGGAGGGCTGGCAGGGTTAACAGCATTGTCACAGGATTAAACAACATAGATTGTCATTTTGGTTAACATTTTGCCGTTGCTTATTTAATTGATTGTTAAAGTCAATTAAGAACCCATGTGCCAGGCCTGGCCTGGGCACTGAGGACACGGTGGTGAACTGGGCAGTGAGGGTCACTGTCTTCCAGAAGATCCTAGTCTATCTAGTGTGATAAGAACTGGAGGGGGTCTGGGAGTGTCCTTTTGGCATGTGTTTGTGAGAGTGCTCCCCCATTGGTCATCTCAGGTGGTGGGAAGACGAGAAGGGATCAGTCTCCATTCCCAGGGCATTCAGAGGCTGATGAGTGGCTCGGGGCTGCTTGGGAGGGGATGGTGCCTGAACCCTGAGTGTTTGCCTCAGATTATTTCCATATTATTATCCATATTTTAGCTCTTATGAATACAACTATGGGCATTTGTGCACAAGTTTGTGGGCATGCACTTGGATTTATCTAAGATGTACACTTGGAAATGGAATTGCTGGGTCCTGCGGCCACTGCTACCTTTTGATGAACTCCCAAAGCCACTCTGTGTCACCTTCCCTCCAACATGGTCTGAGGATTCTGATATCTCCTTATTGCCAACATTTATTCTGTCTTTTGGACTGTAGCCATCCTGGTGTGTGTAAAGTATTTTGTATAGTTTTTCAAAATATCTAAAACATGATGGATGCTAAGGTGCTAGAGTAGCTGGGTATAATCTAGTCTCCAGCACCTTTTCCTAAGAGCGCTCATCTGCCCTGGGCTGAGAAATAGCTGACCTTCTTGCTCGTCAGCCCGAAGCCAGTGGACTCCACAATTCCTTGTTGGACTCCCAGGTCTCAAGTGAGGTTTGGGGGCCCATTGATTCCTAACCCTCTGTCCTCTCCTCTTGTCTTCCAGCCATCCACGAGTTCCCCACAGACCTGTTCTCCAATAAGGAGCGACAGCACGGAGCTGTCCTGCTGCACATCCTCGGTGTAAGTGGTCCTTGCGGGCATGATGTCACATACCTAAAACCTGTCTGCCACAGCCCCCGAGAGATTCCACTTAGTCCTTGTCACAGCCCCGAGAAAAAAGCAGATACCAAAAACTGTTTTGCCCACTGAGAGGTGATATCTCCAATGGGCTCAGTGACTCACATCACAGAAAGTGGTTCAGTCCTGTCTGCTCTCTGCTTTTCTAATGGTGCATGACAGCACCTCTTCCTGATGTGTAACCATGAGCCAAAATACAGGTCAAGGGTGTCAACCCCTGCACGACATATAACCCCCACCCCAGACAAGTTGCCCACCTTTACTTACCTACAGTTGAAACCCTTGCACTTCCTCTCAAACTTCCCTCCATGTGCAGATGGGCCCTGATAACACGCGGTGACATTCAAATAGCAAGTCAAAAAGGGAATAATGGGTTCAAACTGAAATCATAGATGGTGCCTCCGTAATGGGGCAGACAAACTCCAGGCCCAGCCAGGCATGTTTCACTGCCTGTTGTTGTAAATAAAGTTTTATTGGAACACAGCACTCCCATTCATTTCTGTGCTCTCCACGTCTGCTGTGGTGCATCTGAGTCTAAGTGGCCCCCAAAGCCAAAAATATTTACTTTCTGGCCCTTCCCAGAAACCATTTGTTGACTCGGTGGAATGGAGTTGGGAGACGAAGCAGGGCAAGGCTCGCTTTGCTACTTTGGATCAACCACAGCAAATTTCCCTTCTGATCACAGCCCAACCGCCCAGCACCATCTGCTTGTATATTTAATCCCAGGCAGACATTAGTCTTTTAAAAGAGATAATTAAGAAAGCGAAATCTGGGATTCTCACATTGATAGCGACAACCGGAGAGGAATGAGTGAGTGAAATTTCAATTAATAGGCTAAACCTCTAATGAAAATGAAGGGTCAGAGTGAGGATTACAGGCAGAGTCTGAAGGACAGGCGTGTATATTATTTCTGTAGTAATGGAGTTGTTATCTTTCTGGTGACTCCGACTCTACACTTCCCCTTTGACTGAGGTGGTGCGAGTTTGGCTGATTGGCCCCATAGCTCTGTGGCCCTGTCCCACAGAAGTCTTGGCAGAGCGAAGACAAAACAACTTCAGGACTTGTGCAGGGACTCTTACCACACTCTGGCTGGAGGGTCAAGTCCAGCCCAAGCCTGTTCTCACCAGTCACATTTTATTAGACCATGGCCACACCCCATCTAGGGCTGCTTTGGCTCTCGAAGAACAGAGGAGTTGCCATGGAGACCCTTGGACCTGCAAAGTCAAAAACATGATCATGTAACCCTCTACAGAGGGAATCTGCCAGACTCCTTTAGGGAATGCGCACCTCAGGCAGGGGAGCCAGGGGTCTGCAGTACTAGAAACTTCCCGCCCTCCTGGCACAAGGAATGGAAATTGTGGCACCATCTTGGCTCCTCTTTCTCCTCTGTTCCTGTGGGGGTCATAGGAGAGACACCATGTGGCGCCCCGGGTGCCAGTTCGAGCCAGATTCCTGAGGTCTGTGGCAGGGTCTCTCCTGCTGCCCTCCCCTCGGTCCACCGCCCCACACTTGGTTTCTTTTTGCTTCTGTCCAGAAGCTGACGAGTCACATCCAGGGACTGTCACCCGTGGACTCCAGTAGACAGACCTGCCTGGGGTGCTGTGGTCTTAGAGAGTGTCTCTTCCACTTTATTTTATCAGATGAGTTGTGAGATCCTCGGGTGTCGGGCTGTGTGGGCGGGAGCTTCCTGGCTCCTCTCTTTCTGCAGACAGGATGTCCCTGCCCAGCAGAGGGCAGCAGACCCTCCTCTTCCAGGGCCCCCTGCCTTGCCTCCCCCTTCCTCCATTTCCCCTTCCTCACTCTGTTCTGCCCCCACCTTGACCTTGCTGGTCTGTCAAGCACCCTGTTGCCTCAGGGCTCCGCGCTGGCTGTAAGGCGGTCACCAGCAGCAGAGGCTTTGCCTGGTGCTCTGTCACCAAATCCCTGCTGCAGGCACCCACACCTGGCACGCAGGTAGGCCCTACTGGATAGATGGGCAGGGAAAGGGCCCAGCTGGACAACCACTTGAAAACCACTGATCTGCTCATGCATCGTCGTTAAACAGAGAACAAGTGGAGACCCAGGACCACGACCTGTCCAAAGTCATGTGGCACAGAAGTCCCAGAACCAGTATTAGGACCAGGGCTCTTGGGTGCTGTGAGCCTCCCCAGGCAAAGGGACCGTGGATTTCCATGTGTGCAGAGGCCAGCAGGACCCAGGAAACGCTGGCTCACAGGGTGACCAGAGTTCCCCTTTTTCTTGGCAGAGGGTGGACAGTCAGTAGCAAGGACGCTGCTTGCAGGCTATGCGTATTGGCATGTTCCGGGCGGTAGTTCGGAACGCCCTCCTTCTTGGTTTTGTCTTGCCTCTGAGGGCAGCCTCTGCTGCTAGGAGAGACCCGCTTCTTTCAGAAGAGGCGCCTGGGTTGGACAAGCAAAGTGTGTCTCCTGCTGTCCCAATGTGCACGCTGTCCTTCTTCTCTGGTCACAAAATGTGTGTCTGTGGGGGGGCCCCAGGGGGTCCCACACTCCAAGCAGCAGACACCAGCTGGTGTTCCATAGTTTGACTCAGTCCCAACGCTGTCCACCTGGGGATGGCGTCAGACCCACAGGTCAGGGGCTCGGCCACCAGAGTGTCCTTCCTTCTGACGCCTGTCAGTCCCTGGGGGCTTCTGGTCAATGCTGGAAACAGGGCTCCCGCGTCTTCCTGAGATTCAGTAATTCGCAGGAACAACTCATAGGACTCAGGGGGACGCTTTGCCTGTGTTACGAGGCCTTGTTTGCAGATCCAGATGGAGAGACGTAGGGAGAGGGGTGGGGAAGAGGAGCTTCCGCCATCTCCTGGGTGCACCACCCTCCAGGCACCTCCGCTGTCCTGAAGCTCTTGGGACCCTGCCCCTCGGGGGTTTTGGAAGCTTCCTTACATAGGCAAGATTGATTACGTCAGCCTTGGCCCCCAGGTTAGGGGGGAGGGGGGGAGGTCCCTAACCTCTAACCCATCCCCCAAGGAGAAGCTACCAAGGGGCCCTGCCACCAGTCATGTCATTAGCCCCCAAAAGACACCACAGACCCAGGGCTTTAGGGGCTGTGTGCCAGGAGCCGGGGACAGCATCCCAAGAGAAGATGCACAGGCCCGGGGAGCCCGGGTTTGATCCTCTTCACTGCACGTTATGGCTCCTCTGGGCCTCAGTTTTCCCATGGGTCAGGGAGGAGTTGAGGGTGCTGGGGTTTCCTCTGGGCCCCTATCTGCCCCTGGCCTCTGCTGGGCTGCGACAGGGGCCCTCACTGACCCCATGTATCTTCTTCCCTTGGCAGGCTCTGTACATGTTCTACGCCTTGGCCATCGTGTGCGACGACTTCTTTGTTCCGTCCCTGGAGAAGATCTGTGAGGTACGTGGGAGGGACAGGGATGAGGACATGTGGCATGTGAATGACAGGGTGAGAAGGCTGAGAAACACTCTGGTGATAAAGACTGTCACTCTAAGCAGCTGGTGTTGGTCCCATGGTGACGCTTCTCTGCAGCCACTCAATCGGTGTTGGCCGAGGAAGCCACTACTGTAGGATGTCGGGCTCCTGGGTGGCCACGCGTGTGTGCCACCTGGCAGGCCAGGGTGCCCAGTGCTGCTCATTCCCTGTAGGTGGCAGGTCACAGTGGGGATCTGAGCCCCTGGAGGCCCCTGGGGGTACCGTGCTGCTGTGACGGTGGCAGGAGAGAACATGGCTATTAGGAGCAGGCACTTGCCCACAATGTCCCCTGCTGCCAGGCCCAGCTTAGACAGCTTGGTGTCACACAGAGCAGGGAGCGGCAGAGCCTTTCTGTGAACTCCTCCTCTTTGATGGTAGCTGGGCCTCCACTTTGGGGGTCAGCACTGTGGCTCCAGCCTGTGTCAGGCCCAAACCTCTGACCCTCTGAGGACCCCTCGGCAGCTGGTCAGTGAGGAGGGGCATGGTGGCCCAGGGCTGGCGTGGTGACCCCAGAGCCCAGGATTGCAGAGGCTCCTTGGGAGGGATACTTAAGCCGCAGCCCTGCATTCTACATCCAGGTGACTGTCCACGGTCAGAGTGTGGCTTCCCCACACAGAGTGGGCCTTGGAGAGCCCCCAGCTTGTCTGGTGTCAGCTCAATCCTGGGGACAGGGCCTCTGTGAGCTGGGGTGACGGGAAGGCTCACTACAGAGAGCGAGTCTCCTGAACGTGAGACCAGGCTGTGTGGGGCCCCTAGGTGCCAACCCCCACCTTCTCGTACAGGGCCTCCATGACAGTGTCTAGACTGTGGGCTCTTGGTGGGCTCCACTGCAGGCCCCACCCTATTCTAGGTGACACAGGCCAGTCTCGCTCTCAGGCTGCAGCAGGGAGGGTGACCGTGGGCACCGCAGACCCTCCCTGTATAATCCACGTTTCAATAACAGAGTCTAATGGGGGCTGGCTGGCTCTGGGGGGTGCCAGAGCTTCATCCAGGGGACAGTTCCCAGGGGCCTTGGAGATGAGCAGAAAGCCGACGGCGGGATGGGAGAAGGGGCTCGTGTCCGGAGGCCTGGCAGAGCATGGAGGCGTATGCTCGGACACAAGGAGGAGAGGCTGCCAGCCGGGAGCTGGGCTCCCCAGCACATGTCCCTGGAGCTCCCTGCTTCTATGTCCTCGTGACGTCCAGCACCCCGCGTCCCTCTCTGAGGGCCTGTGGTCCCTTGTGTTTCAGAAACTCCACCTGAGCGAGGACGTGGCAGGAGCCACCTTCATGGCCGCAGGGAGCTCCACGCCAGAGCTGTTCGCCTCGGTCATTGGTGAGGAACCCCGGGCAGCCCGCGAGGCGGGGTCCACAGGGCTCTGGCGCCCAGAGCAGCGGGGTGGCATGTTAGCTCTGAGCTGCGTTCTCATCTGTCCATCCCAAGGCAGAAGTGGGGGACAGAAGCTAGATTAGGTTGGTGCCTTAGGGGAGCTGGTGGGCATGGGGTTGACCCATTAGGGAGGTTTAACTACCCTGCAATTAGATTGTGGCTTTGGCTGCACAATTCTCTAATTGGGCCGGGTCAACGAATCCTATGGCCTGTGGATTACACCCCAATACAGCCCCTCACAAAGCGGGGAGCGTCGGAGCCACTGATCCGGGGCCCCTCCACCCGTCGGGTTCCCCATTCCAGCTGACGTCCAGGTGCTGTCGGGGGGTGGGAAGGACCTGCTCCCCCGGCAGCCACGCAGCCAGGCCCGGGCTCTTTCCTTTCTAGGTGTCTTTATCACCCACGGCGATGTCGGGGTGGGGACCATCGTGGGCTCCGCCGTGTTCAACATCCTGTGTATTATTGGAGTCTGTGGACTCTTTGCTGGTCAGGTGGGTGGCTTGGAGCGCGTCAGCTTCCCGGGTTCCCTGTCCTCCGACACTCTGGGGCCTGGGAGGTACAGGGTCACCACCGTGGCCAGTCCAAGGCCGAGTTTCCTTTGACAACCGCAGCCATTTAAGGAGTGCCTCCGGTAGCCCTGGCCCTGAGAGATTCTGGAACCATCTGGCCTCCTGCAGGCCTGAGGCTGGCTTGCTGTTGTGTCCTCAGAGTCCTGGAGGGGCGTTAGACTTGACCTTGGAGAGGCAGGCCATGCTGCAACCTCTGAGGAGCAGGGGAAGGTTTAACCAACCCTTGAGCACATGCCTGGCTCCCATTCCTCCCCAAGTGTGAGGGAGGGCCGGGTGGCCTGGGAGGATCCCGGGGCGTGTCCTTGCACCTGCAAGGGGCCTGGGAAGCTCTTCCCTGCCTCCAACCCCAGCCAGCAGCAGCTGAGGCCCTGTGCTCGGCAGGTGGTGCGTCTGACGTGGTGGGCCGTGTGCCGGGACTCCGTGTACTACACCTTGTCTGTCATTGTGCTCATCGCGGTGAGTCCCCCTCCTGCCCCAGGTGTGGGTTGGTCAGGCTCCTGCAGAGACACAGACCCCTGCCTGCCTGTCCCTGACCCAGCGATGGCAGGTGCCACCTCTCCCTGTCCTCACACCTCTACCCACGTGCCTCCCTCCCCCGAAACCTCATGTCAGACACTCTGCTACTGAGAGACCTTGGAAAAGCCAGAGCACGTGTCCAGTGGTCCCTGCAGGGGACTCAGACCCTGCACTCCACTGAGCCCTTGTCTCTACTGTGGCAGACCCCGTTCTAGGGAGCAGAGTCCCTGGTTTTACAGCGAGCAAGAGAGAGAGGGCCACCTGAAAATACAGAGGACAGGTGGGAGCTGGGGGAAGGAGGAAAAGGCACAGGAGCCCAGACAGGGGTCCCTGGGGCCTCCAGTGTGGCCTCATCCCTGTGTGGGCTGCAGCCCTTGGCTCCATGGGCTGGGTGACATCATGGCACATGACAGCGAGGCATCCTGCCAAGGAGCAAGTCCTCCACAGGACAGTTTCCACCCAGAGCTCTGACGTGGTGGGAGGGCAGGTGTGCGGCACACCTGGATCTTAGGAAAGGAACGTGGCTTGGCACGACAGTTTGCCCCTCGCCTCACCTAGAGCCGACTCCACCTGGCTGCAGGGCCCTTGTATCAGTTGTCCATTGCTCTGAAATTTCTCCCAAACTCAGCAGCTTAAAACAGCAAGCGTTTTCAGGGCTGGGGAGCATGAACCTAGGGCAGTGGGATCCTTGGGGCCATCTTAGGGGCCGTCTGCCACAGCCCAAAATGAAATTGATAGGCAAAACGATCTACCTACATGCAAGTTAAGAAAAAAAAAATAATCTCCATAGTGCCCTGACTGAACACAAAGGAGAATAGAAGGAGTTCCTTGTGAAAGAACGCAGCTTCCCATAGTAGACAAATGTTTTGGCATGAAGGTTCTAGAAGAGCCAGGCGCCCCATACAGAGCAGCTCTGGGCCCTTCAATGACAGTGGCAGGCTGAAGGGGCCACCAGCATCGCTGTGGGTTCCCCGAACAAGGGATGGTTCCCGACAGAGTTCTGAAGAGCGCCCTTCGGTTCCCAGGACTCACCAGCAAATTAAGTATTTACCAAAAACCATTGAAAATGACTTTGATTGGTAAAAATCAAGATTTACAAGCTCAAGGCGTAGGTCCCTGTTTTTTTTTCAGTTGCTAGAACATCCATCGGGACATTTCAGACGTGCCAAATAGGACAGCTTGACCCCGGAGACCTGTATCCCGTGGTTCATGCCCCTGGCCTCCCTGGCCCCCCTCCCTGACCCCCACTGCCCCTGCATGCCAGTAGCCCTCCTTCAGGTTGGAGAGACGAAGAAGGTTCCTGTAATGTCCCATCCTCCCCTTCTGTGGAGGGCCCTTTCCTCAGCGCCTTGAGTTCAGAAGCTCGGGATTGTGCCTGCCTGGGGTGGCCTCCTCAGAAATGGCTTCCAGATGCTGGTCCTGGGGGTGCTGCCCACCGTGATGGCTGGGAGAGGGTAGAACAGTGGGCCCAAGTCCAGCCTCTCCTGCCACCATACGTAGGGACCTTTGTGTCCCCAAGATCAGATTCGTGGGAGCAGCCCATCCACCTCCTCTCCACACCAGGCCATGCTGGGGGGTCACAGGAGCACCCCCTCCCACCCCAGAAACAGTATCCACTTGTGCCAGGGACTCTGGGTGGGGAGGGCCTGGTTGGGTGTATTAATCTGGGTTTTCCAGAGAAGCATACCGGATAGGAGACAAGGAAATGGGGCGTGGGTGGGTGGATGAGCGGGAGATTAATTAGGCTATTAGCTCAGGCAGTTACAGAGGCTGAGAGGTCCACGATAGGCCACCTGTAAGCGAGAGGCCCAGGTGGGTGGCTCAGTCCTAGACCAACAGCCTGAGAATCTAGGGGGCCACTACTGTGAGTCCTGGAGTCCAAAATCCCAGAGAAGCTGGAGTTCCGGTCCCTCGAGGAAGGAGAGGAGTACCCCAGCTCTGAGAGAGGGAGGGGTGAGGTGAGCAGACGAGTGCAGATGTACCCCCTTCTCCTTCTGTTCTCTCCAGTCCTCGGCTGATTAAGTGGTGCCCACCATGTTGGTGAGAGTAGACCTTCCTTACTCAGTCCACTAACCCCAAGGCCAGTCTCTTCCAGAAACACCCTCACAGACATACCTAGAAATAATATTGTACCAACCTGTGCGTCCCTCGACCCAGGCCAGTTAACACCTAAAATCAACCTCTACATGGAGCAGTGTCATTGTCCCCACTGTCACCCCTCAGCTGCCTTCCAAGTACACAAGCTGAACCTCCCCCTTGGCATTCCCAAAGGGGCCACTCTATTTTTTTAGCTGAAGCCCCACCCTGTCGCACACACCCTCTGTGTAGACACATGTGTAGACATGGAGGTAGATTCTAGTCTTTGAAGTTCCATGATTTCAGTAATTATTTGCATGATGACGGGGACTCCTGCCAGGTCAGCCCCAGCAGCTTTAGAGAAGCATGGGCCACTTGTCCTGAGAGAGCCACCCGAAGCTGGGCCACATGAGGCCCAGGTCCCACCGCTGGCCCAGGTCCCACCAAGGAAGGGTCACCTGCTATAGTGAGTAGCAGAGAAGCAGAGCCCGCTTCCTGTAGAACAGGTCACAGGCCAGTAGGGGGTGGCCCTGGGTGTGTAGGGGTCTGCGTTGTTTTTCATTTGGAATAAATATGCCCCCTGGCTCCTTTTGCCTTCCAGTTCATATACGATGAAGAAATTGTGTGGTAAGTCTTTAAAATCTGTTTCTTTGGAGGGTTTTCTCTTGTTTTTGTTGGTTTCCTGTGTCCTCGGTGGTTGGATTCACTGAACCATTCCTAGAATTACTTCCACAGACCTGAGCTTATTAGTCTGTGAACGTCGAAAGATATCGTGCCGAGCAATCTTGCCTTTGTGTTTTCAGAGTGAGAAAGGTGTTTCCCCGATATGTCTCCCCGACGGATATCAAAATAGATCATAAACTAAAAGAACCGCAGTGTGGTGGCTTGCACGAGGATGAGCTCGGGCCGACGTGGAAGACGTTACTGCCCTAGGTCTGGGGTGGGATGCGACAGAAGTGTCACGGCAGTGAGTTAGGGCTGGCGCCTTAATGGCCATTCCCCTTGACCTCCCTCCCTCTCACCTCAGGTGAATTCAAATCTTACTATAAAAAGCAGAATTTTAAAAAGAACTCAGAAGAAAATATTGGGACTCCTCTTTGTGACATGGAGGCAGGAATTGATTCCTTCATTAAGATACGTAAGGCACAAATCCTAAGGGACAGGTGGAGACCTCCCCTCCATGCCTTAGGCACGGTCTCCTGGGGCAGAGCCGTGCCCTTCGCCGGCTCCTGGACATGATTCAGAGTCTGCACGCTGTAGATATCTGTTTTAGGGAATGTCCCCAGATGGTCAGCCTCGGGGTGTCCGCTTCCTGACGAGAGCAGCTGTGTGCTATGGTCCTGGAGAAAGCAGGTGTGGTCCCTCCCTGGCCCCAGCCCACCATGCAGCCCTGGAGTCTCCCCACTGCTGGGTCTCATTTTGCTCAAGTGTGGAAGGAGCTGGGCAGATGGCTGGGTGGTCTGCAAGTCCCCTTCTGGCTCTGTTGGCCTGTGGACTCCCTGTTAGCAAAGGAAGTTCTGCAGATGACTGCAGCCCATGCCCAACTCACAGAGGACTGTGGCTTCCCAGGGGCTTGTGGTCAGAGGTTCAAAACCCACACAGCCCCCCTCCCCCAGGGTTGGACCATTTCTAAAGAGCAACGAGGGAACGTTCCAGGCTGACTCCCCACTACTCCATCACATGCCCAGTGGGTGGCCCCAGAGGCTCTAGCGCCCTGCCCCACCCCTTCGCTGGGGACTTGGTCCCTTCTGCCTGTACCCTAGTTCTTCGGGTCCCTGACCAGACTCTCGAGTGACCACAGGTTCTCAGAGTGGAATCCAGGCCCCTGCCTCCCCGAGGTGGCTGCCCCACCCTCCTCCTTCCCGGTGGCTTCCGGTGGGGCTCGGCTGGGTCCCGCAGACCCTCGTGTTTGTGGGCCTGGAGAGAGCAGGTGTGGTCCCTCCCTGGCCCCAGCCCACCATGCAGCCCTGGAGTCTCCCCACTGCTGGGTCTCATTTTGCTCAAGTGTGGAAGGAGCTGGGCAGATGGCTGGGTGGTCTGCAAGTCCCCTTCTGGCTCTGTTGGCCTGTGGACTCCCTGTTAGCAAAGGAAGTTTGATACCCCCGCCCCCCGGCCTTCTCTTATCCATCACCAAGAAGACTCCCCCTGGCCGGCAGCCTCAGCAGGCCCATCCCACCCATGAGCCTGAGTCCTGGGATGGGCCCTGGGATGGGACGGGAAGGACACACTGCTCCCTGGCCTGCCCAGCCATCCCGACCCTGGGTCCCCAGGCCATGGCCTCCGGGTTCTAACCGCGTTCTCCTCTCTCTCTCTGAGGTGGGAAGGCTTGGTGCTGATCGTCTTGTACGGGTTTTACATTCTGATCATGAAGTAAGTATTTCTCCTCCTCCTTCGGGCTGTGGGCACCCCCTTCCACGTCCTGCTCCCACCTTTGATCAGAGCAGGGGACAGTCATCCGGGTTTCTCTTCTTCCTCACACCTCTATGGGTCATTTTCTAGAAAGGCCACACTCCAGGTTTTTTGAGAATCCTCACTTTGATATAAAATATCCTCCGTGTTTTGTAAGAATGGGAGATAAACTGTCACCCTGCAGGAGTCTCCTCGGGCACATCTTCAGCAAGGAGCCAGCCGGGGGACCTGGGGACGGTGAGAGGTCCCTCTCTCAGGGGATGGCATTGCTGCCTCTGAGTGACGTAGCCCATGTGAGCAAGAGTCGCTGCTGGGGAAGAGGCCTGACCCGTGGGCTGGGCTGGAAGTCCTTTATCAGGGCAGGTTTGTCATGTCCAGCTGCAGGACTCAGTCATTCTCTTGGGCAAGAGGTCTCTGACCCGCCAGGAAGCCCCCAGCCCGCACACTGTTCCAAGGGTCCTGCTGGGATGGCTGTCAGTTTGGGTGAAGCCCCTCCCCGGCTGCCCGCCTTGGCCAGCACTGTGCTGACCACAGCAGATGCCCCCACCTGGTCAGTGGGAGTCCCTGTGCTGCTCTGACCTCCCGTCCTCCCCGACCCCCAGGTACAATGTGAAGATGCAGGCCTTTTTCACAACCAAACAAAAGAGCATTGCCAACGGCAACCCGGTCAGCAACGAGCTGGAAGATGGTAATGACTTCTATGACGGTAGCTATGATGACCCCTCGGTGCCATTGCTGAGGAAAGGTAAGGCTGAGCAGACAGGAGCCAGAAGCTGGCCGTGGAAGCCAGTCTTTCTCCTCACACACCCGCACGCACACTCCCCCGATATGGTCACCCTTTTACCTTTGGTCACATGGACCCTCAGTGGGAAGGGACGGTCTGTGTTTGAGACGTGGTTCAGATGCCTGTCTGCATAGATGGGAGAAGGATGGAGGGACGATGTACCAGGAAGGAGAAAGCCAAGAGTGACAGAGTGCAGTTTTCCCGGCAGCAGGTGGAGGCCGCTTTGGCTTTTCCGATGAGCCACAGTGTCAGGGCCTGTGACAGGAAGCTGAGGGCTGCGAGGACAGAGGTGGTCCTCCCTGGGGTTTCTGCAGTGCCAGGCCCAGGCCTGCAGGAGTCTGTCCAGGGACAGTTGCCCAGGGGAAGAGCAAGGCTGGGAAAAGGGCCCCTGGCCAGCCCTAAAGAGGCCTGAGGGGGCCCCGGGGCAGCAGCCTGGTCACCTCTGCTCATGTTGGACTCCCCCCTTTCCTGGAGTGTAGGGGTTCTGGACATCTGGATCCAGCCGGAAGCTGGCTCTGCCCCGCTCCAGAACAGCATTTGAGCCTGGTGGTTGTCACCATTAGTATCTGGAGAGGCAGGGGCTCAGCGGCCCCCTGTGGTTGCCCCTGGGTGTTGAAGGCCGCCTTAGCCAGGCTCCAGAGCCCTGCCCACCCGAGGGTCTGCCCCTCCCTCTCCGTGGTGTTTCATGAATGTCCAGTAGGATGTCCCAGGGGGAGTCCATCTCCCAGATATGTCCTCAGAGGGGCAGGACCATGTTGGCCACTGTGGGGATTTCAGCTCCACCGTCACAGTGGCTCTGAGCTGCCCATCACAGTTCCCAAGGTCTGGTGGGACAGAGGCTGGCCCCTGCCCAGCACAAACGTGGTGATTGATTCCTGGTCCCCTGGACCTTCGTAGCAAAGAAGAGAAGCACCACACGGAGGGTCACTCAGACCAACAGAACATGCCCACTTCCCCAGGTGCCAGTCCCCAGAGCTGCCTACTGTCCCGGGGGCTGGCAGAGAAGGCCGCCCCCCATGCCCGGTGAGAGGCACCCCTTGTTTGCAGTGGGAGAATTCAGCTTCTCACCTCCCAGGAGATCTGTCACCCCCACACGTGGCGCCTCTGGGAGCTCAATCATGACGCTTGACCACTTCTGTGTCTGCAGCAGGAGGGCTTCCCCATAATTTTATCTCCCCCAAGTCTCTTTAAGTCCAGGGTAACTTCTAGAAAACTGGAGACTGTTCATGAGTCTGCCCTCAATCCCTGGGGAGCAGGGAGGACCAGGTCTCGCTCTGGCCGTCAGTAAGGGCAAGGGCATGAGGTCCCGGAGGTGGGGGTCCAAGGCGCAGGCCTGCACTCCTGGAGCTGGAGACGTAGACCCTGGGATGTCTTAGCCTGAGTCTTTGCTCCCCATGAAAGGCTCCCCGAGGACCCTGTGTGGGGTGCCACTGTGCGCTGTCCCCTGAATAGACCTGACCAAATCGGGGGTAGGAGCCCCCGGTGACCACAGGGCGACCGAGGATTCCAAGGACCACCAGCTGGTGGATTCTCTCAGGAAGCCCTCTTGGCCTGGGATGCAGCTCCGTGGTAGAGCATGGGCTAGTGCGTGAAAGGCCCTGGATTCCATCCCCAGCCCCGCAGCAAGCAAGCAAGCAAGCCCCTGCTCTCTCAACCCTGACTTGGCTCTTCTCAGCGGAGCATTTCCCACGTAAAATCAAAAACTTAAAAAACCCAGCCTCGTGGGGACCTTTTCCCCACCACTCTTGCAAACACCTTTATGCACTTGAGTGTTTTCGGGGGTTCTAGCTCAGCCTACTGGATCAGTGTCCTGGCTGGTTTTCAGGTGACCTTGCTCACAGCCTGACAGCCAGGGCCACCTGCCCATCGGCTGCCATGCCATAGCCAGCCAGCCTGCTCAGAGAACTCACAAGGGGACCTTCCAGGCTGCCCCGGCCCTGGGCACAACTTGAGCTTGGAGCAGGAGGGGAGGGGCGATACCTGTGCTTCTGAACTGCCAAGAAAACAGGCTATAATGAAGTCACCTTTGGGGCAACTTGGACATGCCACGGCATGCTCTCACTTGATGGGTGGCACCAGGACAAAGTGTCCCAGGAAACAGGGGTCATGGCTCCTGCCTCATGAAGCTCCATAGTCTCCCTCCTTCTGAGTCCCATCCCTCCCCAAGTGGTGCCTGGGGCGGGGCTGCTTCTACAGCAGGGAGCCGGGAGCCAGCGGTGTTCTGTGGTGTCCCCTGCCTCTGAGATGGCAGCCCCAAGATCGAGGGTCCCCGTGGAGGGAGCCTGCTACTAACACCTTCCTTCAAATAACCCCCTGGCATCTCTACCACCATCAAGATGCCGCCCCAGGCTCCACCGCACGCTAATCACCTCTGCCAATCTGTTGGCCTCTGCTCCCTAACTCTCCTGAACTGTAAGTAACCTGCTCTCACCCCTCAGTAACACGTGCATCTAAACAACCAGTAAAACCACGTTGCACGCCTCTTGGAGGTCAGTGTCCGTGGCACCCCGACGGGCCTCCAGCTGATTTCTAACCACACGCCTCCTGTCTGCTGAGCCTTGCTGCCTCTGTGTGTGTGTGTGCATGGTGTGTGTGGGGAGGGTTGTGCGTTTCTGTGCCATTAACTCCTGCAAGACGGTGCTTCCTGGACCTGCCCCCTGGTTACCCTGTTACTTGCGAAGGACATGGTGGGATCTGGTACCTGGTGCAGTGTGACAGCTGCCCATTCTCATAGCCCTTCAGAGGGGACAGCGTGGGCTTCTTTTTTGTGCTGTGCTCATGAGTGGCTCGGTTACTAGGCCGTCCCGGGGATCTGGAGCCCAGGGTCCATCCCCCAGGATACTAACACCGAGCATATCTGAGAAGGTGTCAAGGGACAAGCCCAGGTCTGGGGAGCTCTGGTCAGCCCCTGAGTGGAAGGAAAGGGCCGGAGAAAGAGAGGGCATGTAGGGTTCGCCCGAGACACTGGCTGGCCAGCAGCTCCTCTCACCAGCCTCTGGGCCGGGTCCAGGGGCCGGGATCCCCATCCTCGACTTTGCAGCTTCCCTGCGGGAAACAAGGTTAGAAGCGTCCCTGCCAGTCTGTAAAGTTTCACCCGAGCAGGGAGAAGACAGGGGAGGAAGGCTCTGCCACAGTAAGGGTGGGGGCTGTGATGAGCACCAGGTTACAGGCCAGAGCCACCTTCACAGCCATCGAAGGTTCTGTGGTCAGCACTTGCGCTTTGATTTTATACATCAGGGCCCTCTCCGTGCAACGTATGTTAAGAAAGGAAAGTAGACAGGCTCTGGGACCTGTCTACTGCAGGTGGACGTCCCTGGTGAGGCTTAGTGGGGCCTGAAAGACCCTTGCACTCGCCCCAGGCTGGCCCCAGAGGACAGGGAGATGGACATCCATGGATGAAGGGGCCAGATGCAGAGGACTGCCCAAGAGCACCTCTGCCGGCCCCTCTGGGCGCCGTCAAAACTGCCAGGTGGCTCTTTGGGAATCAGTGGCCCACCTTGACTAATGGGAGGAGCTGCAGCCAGGCCCCCAGACTTCCAGGTGCCGGACCCCAGCCCCAGGAAGCCCTCGGGGCCAGAGGGAGTCCGTGGCCCCGGCACCTGGCTGCCGTCCTCTGGGAGGTCAGCACTCACCCTGGCGTTGTGTCCATAGTGAAGGAGAAGCCGCAGTACGGCAAGAACCCCGTGGTGATGGTGGACGAGATCCTGAGCTCCAGCCCCCCCAAGTTCAACTTCCCCGAGGCGGGCCTGCGCATCATGATCACCAACAAGTTTGGGCCCAGGACCCGGCTGCGCATGGCCAGCAGGATCATCATCAATGAGGTGAGTCCCCCTGGACCGGGACAGGGCAGCCCTGGGGCCTGCAGAGGCCCGAATCATCCACAGGCAGCAAAGGGTCCCTCCAGCCATCCAAGCCAGCCCTGGGCACTTCAGAGATAAGTGCAAAACCGTTTTTTAAAAAGTATTTATTAACCAGTATTTCAGAAACAACAGGCGTGTGTCTGGCCGGCATCTGTCTGGCCGGCGTCTGCGGTCTTTGCTATCTGTGTGCGCGTGGGAACTCAGGTCCTTATTCGAAGGCAGTGGCAGGGGCTGTGATGAGCACCAGGTTATGGGCCAGAGCCACCTTCACAGCCATCGAAGGTTCTGTGGTCAACACTTGTGCTTTGATTTAATACGTCGTGGCCCTCTCTGTGCAAAGTATGTTAAGAAAGGAAAACACTGTGCCAAGCTTTGAATCATTTTGATCTAAAGGAGTAAAATTTGTATGGATGACATTGTAGCGAATCCTGCCCACTTTTATTAAGTGTGATGGGGGGGGGCTGTTAACTAACCAGTTTGGGGATTTGGGTTTGTAGCATTTTTTTATGGCCTCTGTAGGCAGGAGCATCGCAGGTCTTGATGAGCAGGTGAATACTGGTTATCCTAGCCCACGGTTAGAAGCCACTGGGAATGTTCTTTCCCTGTACCGGGGTTAGCCAGCGTGGGGACCAGAGAGGCTGGGCTCGGGAGGAGGGAATCCAGAGTTTTAATCCCTCCTTGGCCACTAATTCAATCTCCCTGGGCCTCAGTTTCTCTGTCTGGGCTGTTGGACAGGCGGAGTCCAGCTCTGAAGATTCAGGGGTACACACTGGCAGGACACACCTGCTGCACAAGCTGTGATTTCTGGGACCCACTGTGGCATGGCAGGGGGAGAATAAGAACCCCAGGTGCCCAGTTCGAAATTGATTATTAAGACCCTCTGGGCTCGTTTTTTTCTTCTGTCATTTTAATTCCACAATGTCACAGAGAGGTTTGCAAAGCTCCAATCATTCAGTGGCAGCAGTGCCTCTGACACGGAGGGAGGGGACACGGGGGTCCTTGTTTGCAGAGGCTGGGTACTCGGGGCACGGGGAAGGAGGGCTTTCTCCAAGGCTGTTCCTGGACTTTCTGTCCTGGCCCCCACAGGGCTGCACCTGAGGCTGACCATTTCTAGTAAAAGTAGCCACAGTTTACTGGGCGCCTGCTCCGTGCCAGGAAGATGCTGGACATTTTTCCTGCATTAGAGCTTTGATCCTCCCACCGACCATCACTGGATGGTTCCGGGGTTTCCTTCGGGTGAAGTCATTCACCAAACCACACGACTAGAGAGGGGCCAGCAGATTCCAGGCCAGTCTCAGTCTAGACTCTGAAGGAGCCTGCGGGGGAACCTGGGGGTCGACCCAGCTCTGCCCCTCCTTCCTACATCTTCATTCTTTCGTAATCCTCGTCCCTCCTTGCGTTGCCTGCTATGGTCTCTGCCAGGTGGCTGCCCGTCAGGCCCCGTGCACACTCCTTGAGTGTGACCCTGGGGACTCTGTCCTGGAAACCTGTCAGCTGGGTGTACACAGGACCAGGGACCAGGGCAGGCGTGTGACACCGTGTCACCTGCTGGTGTCTGCCTTGCCTCCCACCCACACAGCGGCAGAGACTGATCAGCTCGGCCAACAGTGTGAGCAGCAAGCCGCTTCAGAACGGGACGCACGAGAACATCGAGAACGGGAATGTCCCCGTGGAAAACCCTGAGGACCCTCAGCAGGACCAGGAGCAGCAGCCGCCACCCCAGCCACCACCCCCGGAGCCAGAGCCGGTGGAGACTGCCTTCCTGTCCCCCTTCTCCATGCCTGGTACGTTGGGGTGGGTGCTGGGTGCTCCAGCCATGCCTCCACGGGCTCCATCCGGACGGAGCCCTGGTCTCCAGCACAGAGGCCTGGATCCCCGAGGGAGGTGGAGGGCTGGTGCCGAGGGGCCACCTCCGGTCACCAGAGTGCTTAGGACATCCTCAAGGAATATGATGTCATCTGCATTGTGGCACACTGGTGTCCTTGCTGCCATTCCAGGCTGCCTGAGGGCCTTTGCACTGCACTTTGCTGGGATGAACTACCCCAGTTACCCGCTGGCTCATCCCTCGCCACCTTCAGGGCTCTGCTTAAACACATCCTATCGCTGTGGCCTTCCCAGACCACCTTGTTTAAGATACTTTATATTTTTCTTGTGTGTCTCCCCGACTAAAAGGGTAGCTTCCAGGGCCAGGTACCTTTGTCTGTTTTGCTCACTGCTATGGCGGTGTCACCGGGCTTCACAGGTGTTTTGTGGCTCTCTGTGGAATGGGTGAACTCAGGAGCTCACGTGCAAGAGGACCCCAGGCCCACCCCTCGCCTTTGCTTTACCCCAGTCTTCTGTGAGGGAGAACGAGGCCTGAGCTCTGGGGGCCTGTTCTTGGGGTTCTGTCTTGGTGTCCGCCATCCTCCGAGGCAGCAGAATTCCAGAACTTTCAAAGCCAGAACTTGATGTTTTTTCCTGAAAAGAATTCTGTTTAACATCGGCTCAGCCAGCACTGATTCAGGGGGACTCTGGGGGCATGGGGGCTGCCCCACCCCATCTTTGGGGAAATGCTCCTGTCTCCACGTAGACGGCCCGAGCCAGTCAGGCTGTGTCACTCTGCGCCTGGCTGTGGCTTGAAGATACGGGCTCCGCTGGGTCATGGGGTTTCCCTGGAGTTCCTGGACTGGAGGCTCAGGACCTGCCCCTCGTAGCCACCGGCAGGCTCTTCCCAAAGCCCAGGGCCAGCTCGGAACTGGTGCATTTCAGGGATTGGAGCAGGGCCTGGGAATCCTCATTGTCAATGCTTTTCCAAGTGATTCCTGGGACCAGCTGAGTTAGGAACTGCTGTCCCTGGTCAGCACCTCCCAGCCTTTCCCAGAGGAGTCTGGCACTGGGGTTCAGCCTCCCAAGGCCCCCTGTGCTGGCCAGGCAAGGGGACTGGCGTCTAACCCCACCCCTGTGCATCCTGGCACATCAACACACCTGTCTGGGAGCCCTGCTTACCCACCTGGTCTGGTGGGAGCAAGGCCACACTGGACTTGGGTGGCTGTTGGCCCTGGGGCCATCTGGACCCTGAGCCCTGCATGAGGTGGTGGTCTCCAGATCCTGGGTCCCCTATGGAGTCACCAGGTGGGGGAGTATTTCCACATGGCAGGGTCCTGTGGGGGGGGGGCAGCATGTCCACCCTGAGGACTGACTCAAGGGTCACTAATGCAGGACAGGCCTGAGTTCCTGACAGGTGCAGACGTGTCCTTGGGTGCCACCCTGACAGCCCTGGCAGTCCTACGGGCAGCCAGTCCCTCTGCTGAGTACGTGGGGCTGACTGAAGGCAACCTCAGCGCCCAAAGGAGCTTGCGTCCCTTGGGGCCTGGACACCAGTGCCAAGGACAGCTATGGCCACAGCCATGGAAAGGCAGCCTCGCTCCAGGAAACAGGCAGACTACAGGGCTGGGCCAGGGGCCGGCTGCTCTTGGGCGGTCTGCACACCTGTCCTGCACTCTGTGAGGTGGGACTTGGTGTCCTCATTTCACAGACGAGGGGCTGAGAGGCCACAGCCACCACCCACCACCGGCCACTTGATCTGAATCTGGCCCCAAAACAGCCCCCATCGGGATCCACAGGAAAGCCAGGGCCAGGCCTGTTCCTGGGCCAGATCCTGCTCTGTAAAGTGGGGCAGACTCGTGGAAGGACAGCTGGCCTCCTTCAAGCCTCCAGCTATTGGGATGGCAGGGAGGCCCCGGGACCAGCCACCTCTCCCACCTCCTGTCCTGGGACCTGGGCTCCTCCGGGCACGGCCATGAGTCTCAGATGAGCTGCTTCCCAGGGTGGAGGGTGAGCTGATCCCGGAGGGCTGGAACCCATGGCCGGGCCTCCTGTCCCCGGGTTCTCTGCCCTCTGGGAGTGCATCCCTTCCTGCTGGACTTGACCCACCTTCTTCCTCAAACCAGAGGATCCAGAAGTTCCCCTGGGCCTGGCTCTTCAGTGAGCCGAGTGCAGGGAACTTCCTGGCCATGCCCGACTCTCTGTCCTCGGAACAGGCCTGGCTTCCTGGGTCCCAGGGACAGCTCCCCGAAGACCCCACAGATGGGATTCCAGGCCTGTCCTTGGAGACCACAGGTCATTTCCTCCTCCTGTCCCTCTCCGTGTGCAGAGCAGGGGGCAGGGGCAGAATTGCTGCCTGAGCTGGCTGCGGCTGGTTCAGGTGCCAATGGCAGCCAGGGGACGGGGACCCCAGCACAGGCAGGGAAGCACAGGAAGCCAGAGCCAGCTAGTGAGACCCCAGGCCAGGGAAATCCTGCATGTCCAGTGGCAGGACCCCCCCACGCCCATCTTAGCTCATGGCTTATCCACCAAACAGTGGCCGGGGACATGGAGCATCCACAGGGGTGGGTGGGACTGGGGTCTCCCAGGTTGGGTCCTCAGAAGGCATCACAGGACCAGGGAAGGAAAACCAGGGCCAGGCTGTGGGAAATCCTCAGGGCCAGCTGGGAACCCATGCAGCATTGAGGGATCGAGGGATGGGCCATGGCCAGACCCATGCCAGCTCTTCTGTGCTACCAGGGACCGGCAGGGACAGACTCCAGGCCCCAGGTCCTGAATTTGAATCTTAATTCTGCCACTCACCCCCGTGTGACCCTGGGCCAGCGGCATCACTCCCTGAACCTCTGTTCCTCATCCACAAATAGGCTGATGCCCCCGGGGTCTGGGTTGACCTGGACAGTGGATGTGATGATGTAGCCACGGTCGTCGCTGCACACCATTGTGCGCATAGTAGGTGCTCAGTAGATTCCCTCCCCCCCCCCCGCACCCTCCTCAGCTCTGGATGGCTCTTGAGCGCCGTGCTGGCCGGGAGGAGGGGGTCTTGGGTCCTTCTAAGCCCAGGAAGCTGGCACTGCAGAAATGGCCCTCGATGATCCCCGCCCCCTCCCAGCTGGGAAAACCAGGGAGCCTGCTGATGCCGCGGCTCCTGGTGGCTCCACTCGGGCTCCGCATGGCCCGGGCCCCAGAGTTCGTATGGTGGGGTCCTGGACCAGTCCTGCCCTGGTTGTGGGAGCCACTATAGATGGAGCACCTCCTGACCCTGTGAGTCAAGGCCAGGATTCCAAAGAGGCATCCTGTCAATCACCAAGCACGACTGCGGGCTCAGGGCAGGAACCAGCCAGCTCCCACGGTGGCCGAGCATCTCTACGTGTCCACGAGGTGGCTGTGCTGAGATGGTATTCACTTGGGGTCACATTCATCCCTTTCAAGTGCCCCATCCAGTGGCTCCCAGTGTATTCACCAAGTCACGCCACCACCTCCACAATCAATCAAGGACATTTTACCCCAGAGAAACCCCATAACCATGAGCAGTTACTGTCCTTGCCCCCAGGCCCTGCAGCTACTAATCGACTTCCTGTCCCCCTGGACTTACCTCTCCTGAACATTCCATATAAATGAATCACGTGATATGTGGCAACTTTCACTTGGCCTACTCCGGGTATCCCCATTTGGAGCACCTGTTTACTTCTGTCCCTCTATAGCTGCGTAATACTCCCTTACACTGGGTAGGCCACGCCTGGTGCATTCTCCAGTGGGTGGACATTTGGCTGGTTTCCACCCTTTGGCTATGAGCAGCTTTTGAAAGAGCTAATAGGGCTTCGTGGAGAAGGGGCTCGGGATGTTTTTTCTATTTGTTCTAATACATGACAGTAGAATGCACTTTGAGACATCATACGTAATTGGAGTATCACTTCTCATTCTTCTGCTTGTGCGTGATGTGGAGTCCCACCAGTCGTGTCGTCATGTATGCACACAGGGTGTTAATGTCCAATTCATTCGACTTTCCTTCCTATCCCCTTCCTCCCTCCTCTCCCTTCACTCCTCTCTACCTAATCCAAAGCCCCTCTATTCTTTCCCAGCACTACCCCTATTGTGAGTTGGCATCTACATATCAGAGAAAACATTTGGCCTTTGGTTTTGGGGGATTAGATTATTTCACTTAGCATGATGGTCTCCAGCTCCATCCATTTACCAACAAATGCTGTCATTTCTTTCTTCTTTATGGCTGAGTAGTACTCCATTGTGTATATATACCACATTTTATTTATTCATTCATCTGATGAAGGGTACCTAGGTTTGTTCCATAGTTTAGCTTCTATAAACACTAATGTTGGAAACACTGTGAAGTGACAGAAGCCGGATGCTGAAGGCCACATGTTATGATGCCATTTCAGTGGAATACCCAGGCCAGTCCAATCAATGGGGCCAGAAAATGAGTTAGTGGTTTCTGGAGGCCAGAGGGGAGCAACGTCAACTGGGCACTAGGTTTCTATGGGGGGTAATGAAGTCATCTAGAATTTTCTAGGGGTGGTATTTGCATCACTTTTAATATGCTATCAGCTGTTTTCAAATGGAGTTCACCTAGAGTTGTGGCTCTTAAAGTGTGGTCTGGAGTGGCCCCGCAGCCTCCAGGTCTCAGGAACTTGTTGGAAATGCGAATTCTCCAGCCCAGTGTGGTGGCACGTGCCCGGGGTCCCAGCTACTCAGGAATCTGAGGCCGGAGGAGCCCAGGGTTCAAGGCCAGATGGACAACTAAGGGTGACTCTGTCTCATTAAAGATAAAGAAGTGCACATTCTTGGAGCCCTGTTCCAGGCCACAGGTCATCAGCCCCGGGGGTCTCGCCTCTGGGGGACTATGAGTCCAGGGGCTGCACTCTCTAGGTGGTGCCGCCCCTCTCTGGGGCCCTCGGGAGCCCATGTGTCACCCAGTGGCACCGACACTCCCACGTGCCCAGGGCAGCCCTGCTTTGGCTGCAGCGTC